CGATTGCCCGCTGTCGTCATTGGAAGAGGCCCGATGTGATCTATGCCCAACGTGTGGAAAATTGTCTCTGGAGGCTTGATCGGCGTAAGAAGTCCATGTCGAGCTCCAGGACGTCGTTTGTGTTGCTGACAAATCTCGCAACTGGCAACGTATGAACGCACGCTTTTATCCATTTTCGGCCACCAAAAACGTTCTTGTGCCTTGCGTAAGGTGGCTCTGTAGCCAACATGGCCTCCCTCGGGAGTGTCATGGATGGCGCGTAGTACGCTCGATCTTAAGGTGTCAGGAATGACCAGGAGATGACACTCGGTGCTTTTATCGGCCCAGTGACGCCGATACAGCGTTCCATTACGTAAGACAAACTTGGCATTGCGTCCCGCATCGCCAATGGAGTCTATAACGGATGCGAGTCTTCCATCGGCTTGCTGAGCCTTGGTCACGTCCTGTTGCGAAAACAGGATCCAGGTTTCTCGATTTCGTGTGGAGAATTCCTCGATCGGATTTCGCGATAAAGCGTCCGCAAGCTGATTTTGTGCTCCAGCACGGTGACGGATGTCGTACGTATAGTCTTGGAGCCGAACAATCCATCGGGCAAACTTGTGCTTGAGGTGCTGCTTCTGGAACATCCACGCAATCGCGGAGTTGTCTGTTACTACCGTGAAGTGTCGGCCAAACAAGTAGTGGCGGAACTTTTCATCCACACTCCATACTACAGCCAAACACTCCAGTTCATTCGAATGATAATGCCGTTCTGCGTCCGATAGTTTACGACTGGCGTAGCAGATGACGTGCCCACGCCCACTCGAGTCACGTTGAAGTAAAACCGCCCCCAGGCCAATCTGACTCGCATCAGTATGGACTTCTGTCATCCAATCTTCATTAAAGTGGCAGAGCACCGGGCTATGTGTAAGCTGGTGTTTGAGGGTTTGGAAGGCGTTATCCTGCAAAGGACCCCACTGAAATTGGGCGTTTTTCTTCAGTAAGTCCGTGAGTGGAGCAGCAGTTGACGCAAAGCTCGGTACAAACTTGCGCAAGTATGACGCCATTCCTAGGAATACCTGGAGCTGTTTTATAGATGTTGGTGCAGGGTATTTGGCAACGGCGTCTATGCGTTCAGGCAAGGGTCGTACGCCATTATGAGATATCTGATAACCAAGATAAGATATTGTCGTCAACCCAAACTGGCACTTCTCGCGGTTAAGTCGAAAGCCGGTGTTGTGTAGCCTCTGCAGAACCGTGTCGAGATTTTGTAGATGTTGTTTTTCTGTTTCCCCGATGACTAGAACGTCATCGAGGTACACGACGCAGGCACGGTCTATCAGTGTGCCTAACACTGTGTTCATGGCACGCTGAAAGGTGCTTGGAGCAGTTCGCAGACCGAACGGCATCCGATTAAACTCGTACAAGCCAGATGGTGTTCGGAAGGCCGTCTTAAACTTATCTTCTTCAGCCACGTTGATCTGCCAATACCCTGCTTTTAAATCTAGCGACGAAAAGAACCTCGCTTTTCGTACGGCGTCAATAGCGTCGTCAATGCGTGGCAGCGGGTACGAGTCTGGTATGGTGTGCTTGTTCAGCTCTCGGTAGTCAACACAGAATCGGAGATTGCCGTCCTTTTTACGGACTAGGACAACAGGTGCTGCCCACGGGCTAGAAGATGGCCTGATTATGCTTGCGGCAAGCATTTCTTGCACCTGCTGGTCAATTAATATCCGCTCTCGTTCGGCATATCTACGTAACGGTATGGACACCGGCGGATGATTGTCGGTAGTAATATGGTGCACTAGCACGCTAGTTCCGGGAAGCTGAGTAGTAGTATCAGCGAAGAGCGATGCGTGCCTCTCGAGTATTGCGGGAAGTGTAAGTGGCGTCGTCAGCTCACCTTGGGATTGCGCCGGAGGCACACTTGGAGCCACAGGATGGAGGTTGACGGTACTTCCTTCCACCGTGAGGCGCACTTCCCCGGAGAGCAGGTAGTCGGCCCCTAAAACCATGTCTGTGGGCAGGTCGTCGAAGACGGGCACCGAGGACAAAAACTTGCTGCCGGCCTCGGTGTTGAGTTGCAGGTTTAGGGCACCGACCGGTAGTACGTCGCCACCGAGACCCCGCAGTGGTGGCTCAGTCCAAGGCTGGAGAGGTTCGGAGGCGTGGCGGCGAAGCAACGCCGTACGTTGAGCTCCGGTATCAACGAGAGCTGTCAGTTCTCCGATGCCGTCGACGCGGACCTTGAGGGTTGGAAGTGGGCGTGATTGATATTGCATCGCTTGAGGTTGGCTTTGTGGGCAGCTTTTATACCCATGCCCGATGCGGCCACACGTATAGCATCCGCGTCTCGGTGAAGCTGACTCCTTTGGGCCAACTGCAGCCGCCCGGCGATGAGACGTGTCCTGCAACTCCATTGCCTGGCGTACGAAAGTGGAGATGTGGACTGGGTGGTTGTAGGCGGACAAGACGGCTGCGTGCGTCGAGTCATGGATCCCGTCGATGATGTACTGCCTGGCTGCGGAGGAGGTCCACTGTATATCGCAAGCTTGTAAAAGGTCCAGCTTGTCGTAGATGTAAGTCGCGACGTCCTCGGTTGCACCTTGCCGGCGTGACCGCATGGTCATGAAACGGTCGTCGTAAGCGCTCGGAAGCGGCGCAAACGCGGATATCAGGGCCGCGCTCCATGTTTGCCATGTAGCGTATGTACTGCCTTGGAAACGATGCCACGCTTGGGCAGATCCTCGCAAACGTCCTTCAGCGACCGACTTCTTAATCGTGTCGCTCCACGAGTATTTAAGGGCAACCGAGTTTATCACGCTTACCCAGTTGGTAGGGTCATCCTTGAATCCATGAAAATATGGAATTTCGTTCTCGTTGAACGATCCAAAAGAGGCGCAGCCAAACCCGGATGTCTTGAGCTCTTGGGCGAACAGAGAGAAGCCTCGAGAAATGGCCTCGCTGCAGTCATGATGCGGTGCCGCCGTGGAGGCTTGGACGCCGTCCGTGATCGGTGGGGAGTTCGAGAGCACTCGTCCACTTCGAAGTGTAGTGGACGCAGGGATATCGGGGTCAGTAGTTCGCGACTGCGCCATTGTAACGAGGAGAAATAAGACAAAGAGACAACGCCTTTGCTGCAGGCCGGCTGTTCTTTATCTGCCTCCTCTTCCTCGTCCTCCTTCTCTTCCAGGTATGCGCCGAGCACGATCGCCGCTTTGTCATCATTACAATATATATATATATATATATATATATATATATATATATATATATATATTGACGCGATAGCCTTAGTACGTATGTGTATACACCCGGGCACCCAGCCGGTTTTCGGACCACGGGTACCCGGGTTCGAATCCCGCGTGGCCAAGACCATCCTCCGCTTCTCCTGTCCTACTTCTTTTCTTCCGTCTATGCACTTCCCCGACCCCAGTAACGCTCGCCTCCCTTCTTCTTGCCAGCTCCTTGCCTCAGTACAGCTCCTTTTATTATAGGCGTTACATCAGTCCAACTCCGGGCTCGAACCTCCTTCACCACCGCTCTCATTCTACCCGCTTTTTCCTGTGATGCCTTCGCTTCCTTGCACCCCTAGCTGCTATACCGTGTAGCGGGGCTTCCCAATTCCATTGGGACATATCCGTTCGACTTCCTGCGCACGATATGCATCAGAAAGGCAACCTAAATCTGAGCTGAGCACGGCTCCGCGACGCTCAGCTCCCCATTCCATAGTGCGCTACCAGACAGCATAAAGTGTCTTCTACTAACAGTGATATCACCGGAACCGTCGTAAGATAGCAGAGCTCCTTGGGTGTGTTACCACTCTCACTGAAAAGGGAGGTAATCGGAACGTAATGCTAATCGGAGATTCGTAATTGCCTGAGCTTTTCGGGCAGACGAATTTGCTCCGAGCTCGCTCTATGGCGGCCATAGCATCAAGACAGTGCTGAGCAAGGAGGTTTAAAAAAAAGAATTTAAACCTCCTTGGTGCAGAGTGCGTCATAGCAGCGCTGATAAAAAAATGGCTACAAGAACGCGCGTGCCGTCAGAAACACACGTAGGGGATTTGCGGTCCATGGTTATCAAAGAAACACGGCGTGCTGTGCGTACACGTCAGCGCCGCCACTCAGTCAATATTTCAGCAGTGCAGGACCGTCAGTTTGATTGTCGCGGAATCTTTTTGCCAACTCAACACGAGCCTGCCACAGGCGTGCTCGTGGGCGTTTGTCTTCTTTCGGGCAAGTTCTTTCGTTCCACCTGCTACATGGAATTTCTACTCTCGAAGGCAGCAATGGTGCACATGCAGCACTTTCGTGCTGCTCGTTTCGCTTCTATCAAATATAGTGTAATATTTTCTGTAATAAGGACGCTTAAAAGGTCTGCACAAACAAATGTAAGAACAGGCTGTCACCAGGGGCGCTCGGGTCATGGCGGCAATAGAGTAATTGTATATAAGCATATACAGTTCCTCTAAGACAGTTTCTTTAATATGAAATGGTGGTTGATGCTTGTTGCACAGGCCAATCATATATAGGTTAGATAAACCTCTGGGTCCCTTAAGCGTTGGTTTAATAGGATGACTGGAAGATGAAAAACATCCTTGACGGCTATCTTCGTGCCATGTAGTTGGCTCAGAAACAGTGAATGATTCAATAATTGTGCATCTTACAGTATGTTTAAATCATATTGTCAGCTCAAGCATCGTATGTCAAGTCGGTCATTACCAGTCAGCATGTGCTAATGAAGTCATCCGCTGTATGTAGAATTTCTATTGCTAGATTCAGGATATCCCCTATCAAACTGCTATAAAGTTAACTGAACTTCTAGCATATCTTGTTTTGGCAGTGCACCACAAGATTTGCCTTTCTTTTTTTTAAGCAACAAGTAAATCGAAGACATGTAAATATATTTCCCATTTCTCAGATTACAAGAGGGCATCTGCACAAATTTAATTTTTGAAATATAATGACCACCCAACCAGAAAAAGTGATTGGAGTCTATCATACTGATCACATCATACAGCATCGAACCATGCGCAAGTCATCATATTTATTTCAATTCTTGTTGACAATAGTACGGCCGAGAATCAGCCATGGCACACAATGCGAGTACACGTGCAGCTGTGGCATTAGGCCTTGCAAACACTTTGATGCTACACTTTATTACAAGCTTCATAACAAACATTCAACATATGGAACAGCGATAAATCAAACACAACGTCGAACTTGCTAACAGTGTTAACATTTTGTCAAATGGCACGAAGCAAAAAGGAAAAAAAGAAGTGCCCCCACACACTATATGTGCAAGCAACATGACATAAAAAATAAAAGTTCGAAAACAGTTTGTCAATGTGATAGGTCTATGGTAAAATTTAAATAGCAAAATGCTCTAGAAATGCAGTGCATTTGCAGGTCGTTTCCGAAGGCTCACAAGCTAGAAACCATAACGACGCAATTTTTACAGGCAAACAACAGTCTCAGCTCCTCCTTTGGTTCACTGAATCCTCGCACACTGCCTTCCATGGTTTCTGGTCTTTAAGATAAGCAAAGTGAATTCCATAATGCCCATAGCTTTTGCCAAGCAAACTAAATGACACCTAACATTAACTGCATGAGCTTTAGTATTCAGAGAAGGCAAACATTATACAGGCCTTAATAAAAGTACCAGTTCTGTAACATTGAGAGAGGGACATGTGCTAAGCAAAACAGAAATGATTACAAAGAAAAAAGACATCGAAAGACGACAGTCTTCTGTCTGGAGGCGCTACACGAGATATGGCACCATCTGGCAGCAATGTGAGAAAACTAGTTTTTTAGATTGCAGAGCCAGTGGTAGGTGGCTGCACCGGGTCAGTTTAGTTAAACCCCCTGAATTTTTTAGCGAAGTGTACGAAGCACCCGCTTTTTCGTACATAGCGTCGCATTGTCAGCGCAGAATAATAAGCACTTTAGTATTTAAAATTACTTATCTATGCATATTATAAATAAAAAGACACACTGCCTAACAATTATGTATTGATGCACCTCAAATATGCAAAATATTTGCCTTTTGATTGAAAATGTTCACAGGTATGAAGGCAACCACCAGATCAAGGTAGGTGGGCATTGAGCAAGGGGTTAAATTTTCACCGGGTGACTGAGTCGATGGACAGACATCAAAAGGCAGACCAAAGTTTTCGTGTTGAATTATCCCAACAAAGACTTCAATCTTTAAAAGAAACTAACCCTCCCCTGCAAACAAAATGCTTCCTGGCAAGCAACCATGTGTAACAACTGCTCGAATGCATTGTCAGACCAGAACGAAACACAATTAGGCAAAAACAAACTTTTATAGCAACCATGCTTTTAATTCAATAGCAATATTTGGCACATACTCTATTTTAGAGCTGTGGCATGTTAGAATATTAGTCGTAGCATGGTTAAAAAGTTAAAACTTAAAACTACTATCTTTGAAACGGATCTGCTTCGTCTCGTTGAATGTTTGTTACAGCCAACTTATAGTGATCCTTACAGGAACTGTAAGACCATTCCACAAGTGACAAAATTAGTTGTACAGATTACAAGGTATTCTTGGTGCTAAAACCTAAACAGATGTAATGGTGTGGCCTACTGACATTCGAATGGCTTTTAAGGAACTTAAATTGTGCGGCCCAAGGTATATTTGGACCTTGGCATTCAGTCAATGACAAATAGTCATCAGCCTGGCATCTTTAAGAACGCCATTGCAATGACTAAACTAGAATCTCTTAGGAGATGCTTAGTGTAAAGTGCGGATTTGAAATAAGTTCCTAATTAAGACGACGTGAAATCTAGGAGGCACTGTGACATGTGGAGGAGGACCTAGTAACGTGTGTGGCAAATGGAGCCTTTTATATCTTTTTTACAAGAACTGTGGATCGCAAACTTAACCCGCTGAGACTCCGTAACGAGCACTGAGCTTTCTAAAATGAGGTATGACATAAACACGTGCCAATGCGGGCACCTTAAAGTAAGAAAAATCCACCAATACAAGTTTTTCAAAACACTAAGAAGGATACGAAAAAGGCGCTTAACAATTTGACCAGATAACATAACAATCTGACCACTGTTTGGTGGAAGCACATGTATCTGACAAAGTGTGTGCCTTATTTCAACCAGCTGCGGCAAGCTGAACATGCTGTGCATGGAATGCTCAACGTTGAATACAAGCACATAACAAGCAAGCTGATGGCTCAGTCATTAACGTTATTCGAAGAAGCGGACCAACCGTAGTAACACTACAACAATCAATATGCATGCAACACAGATTAATACTGGGCACAGAGGTAAGGGAGCAAATATACTGAGGTGATCACACTCTCACTCTTGTGAAAAACCCACGTCATTTCAAGAACGCTAGCTTACTGTACATATCTCTGTATAGACTGTAAAGTACCTACAGTCAGCAGTTCAAGTCATTGCTATCTTCTAGCAGACAGGGCGAAAGCAGCGAGGACTTTTTTACGCACGATTTGTCAATATTCTATGCTACACACACACACACAAATAAAAAAAAGCAGCCAAAGGAAGGCATTCCTTGTGTGCATATGTTCTACAAAAAAAAAAAGCACACTGCAAAAAACAGTTGAACCATTAAAGATGGTGACAAACAAAAGTTTATTAAACTAGACTGAACTAGCCCACAGAGGCTGCAATCCAATAGGCAATAGCTGTTGGATACTGTGATCCAACGCATGCAGGAATTTGGAAAATCACATGACTAGCGAACTATACTTCGGACAATGATTGCATGTTAGCACACATACACAAACTCTCCAAGTTAAATGTAAGACATACCAAAGGCGTCCCTGTTGATGGATGCATGTCACAAGCAAACAGTGGCTAAAAGGCCATGCCAAAGCGGTGTCATTGAGAAAAAAAAATCCTTGAAGGCATATCAGGCAGGTGTTCTGGAGTGCACAGACATCATAGCGAAAGCTAAGCCATGGGAATATCTTGTGACACAAATGCAACGTACACTTGATTCTGAACAGGTTTCAAAACCGTGATTTTTCACATTGTGTACGTAATAAATACTACCGAGAAATATCACCAGCCTATATTACCAATAATCAACATGTTCTAGTTGCCTACAATTCAAAGAACTTCCGCAGTCAGTATGCTTTGCTTTTACTGTGCTACAAAATTGAAAAGCAGGCAGTCATTGCTGCAGTGCACTTGGGCTGTGAAAAAGTTTATTATGGTGACGCTGTCTCTGTTGCACTTCGTGCCTTTGTACCCTGCCAAAATATAAAAAGACATATTTGTGAAATGCCGTTGCAGAGGGGAATCATAGGCCAGAAATAACGTTAGAAGTATTAATAAACGCTACTGGCATCAGATGTTCACTGCATATGACATGCTGACAGCTGAAAGTGGCGAATCACCCTAAATTTTTTCTGGAACGCTGAACAAAACAATGAGAATGAATTGTAGGGTCCATTCCTTTGTAAGACATAGCAATATGAGGCCAACAACTAATGAAACATATGAAACTATAGAAAGTATTATTTGTAGGGGCTTGTGCTAATTATTGCACAAAGGGTAATTTAATTAAATTGGGCAGAGAAACAACTTAATACTATAGAGGATCAAACCTAGAATCTTTGAACTACGCGCCCGATATTCTACCAATTGAGCTATAGTACCAGACGTTCACCCACTGACCTTATCGAGTATTTCCATATCTGTAATCTTAGGAGTGTTATACGATAATAATAATACTAATTGTTGGGGTTTCAAAACCACAATGTCATTATGAGAGACACCGTAGTGTAGGACTTTGAAAATTTCGACCACCGAAGGTTCTTCAACGTGCACCTAAACCTATGTGCACAGGCCTCAAGCATTTTCGTCTCCATGAAAAATGTGGCTGTCGCGGGCGGAGTTCAATCCCGCGACCTGAGAGTCAGCAGCCGAGAGCCTTAGCCACTAGATCACCGTGGCGGGTAATCCTAGGAAAGTTCACGTGCACCACTGTGTGCCATGATCGCAAATGTGAAAAATAGCTTTTTGCTTTTGGCAGGATGGCATCATGCAGCGTGTGATATTTTGCTAAACCTTGCATACTAAACCTTGCAATCTTGCAGGCAGATAGCCTGTCAGATCAAGATGTTGAATGTCTCAAGAAGCCTTTTTTTTTTATTAGATGTTCATACGTGAAATTTTGAAGGTAAAGAAAGAATATGCAGCAAACGTTCCTTGAAGATGCACATCAGTGCATTCAAAACCGATGACATAAATAGGAAGTAATTTCCTTATCACCACGGTTCTGTCAAATGCAGAGGTACATTGGAGACCGATAAATTGCAGAAATGTCCCAAAACACCGAAATGGCAACCGAGAAATATTTTTTTAAGCGGCATTTCTGCAATTGCAAGCAGGGATTCTTAGGAGGTCCTAAAAGGTTCTGAAGTTGACTGTACCTTTCTTAACACTATGTACTAATATTATTACTGTATCGTGATTACAAGTTGAGTGTTAGAACAAGACATCAATGAGATTCATAGCCTGCGAGGCATGACAACATTCATGGAGAAAACAAAGGAGGGTAGTATCCAGCACTAATGCATGTGCTTGAAAAAAAAAAAGTTATCGCAATGCAAGCTTTTAGGTTCTTTCCATGATCAACAATAGTGAAAAGGCAGTGACTAAATAAAGTGCTGTAGTCCTTGGAAAGGCACAATGGATGATTATCTTTACAGCAAAATCACGTGTGACACAAAAATAGTCAGATCATATCCAAAAAATGACAGTAAATATATATTAGTAATGCTATACGATTGAAAATTCCCATTCTCATTTACTTTGTTAAAACTGCAGGTTTGTTATATCGAGGTTCTACTCATACTGCACTCAAGGCGGGTGGAAAAGGGTGCAGCAGTTGAGGCAGTGTGTGCTAAACGAAAGCGATACAATGCTGTTTCATGCAGAAAAAAAAGAAAAGAGAGAGAAAGCGAGTGAATACGCATTCAAGTGTACTTCTATCTACCAGAAACAGTTGTGCACATTTCATGCGTGACTTGAGTGCAAAACTCAGAATTGTGGCATAGCGGCAGACACCATCGCCCGCACTTTCAAAAAAGATTTTCTTTAGCAGCACTTTCACATGACATTCACACGTAACATGCCAGAAGCTGTGGACCGAAACCACACGTTATAGAAGGTATGCCCTATCGGAGAGCATTTAAGATACAACTAAAGCACTCATTACGCCAACAGCGGTGACCTTGTTCCAGGTCAAGGAAATGCTGAAGACACCAGTAACCACTGCGATTGAAGAGGCCCAAAGTTCTGACAAAGAGACAAAAGTATACTGCCAAAGGCCAAACCGCATGCATGCGATTTTCGAGCGATAGCGACAAGCGACAGCAACAAACTTGCCCGTCTCGCGCCATAGCGTCTTGACGACCGCAACCACGTCGGTAACTAAGTGTCATTGTTGCTAGATTGAAAACTATAACGTGCATACCTATTAACTGCAAAAAAAAAAAAAAAAAGCTTTAAAGTAAGTCGATGACAAAATGCCAAGCTTATTACTGTCTTGTGTGACATAAGGAAGCCACTAAAGCGGTTCACAACCTTATTTTTTCGCAATATTTGGTTTAACCGCTACAGGGTGCCAAGAAGCGTACGTTATGACGGCTACGATGCACATTGCATGACGATTTCACATTGCAGCAAGCGAGTATAATTGTCGCAAGATACCAAATTCACACTATAAGTTTACAAGTCTGAGGTTGTTTCGTAAACGTTTAGATGTGACTGTTTAGTGGGTACACAACGAAGAGACAAACTGAAAAAAATAGCTCATAGAGTGCAGCACAACAAAACAGCCTCTGAGTCACAGTGAGCAACCAATGCTTCTTACAGCATTCGCTTTCATATTTCAAAATGCCACGGCAGTCAAGAATGTTCCCAGCTTACCACTACGCACTCGAACGACTCGTCGTTACGTATACAGGCTGATGTAGCCGAGCCTCCTGGCACCACACTCACAACAGTACTTGGCTACAGTGACCGGGTATATGGTGCCACACTGATGACACAGGTAAGGAACTTTGGTCTCCAGGCCATGCCCCACGCTTGGCAACGAGCCGTCGCTGCCACTACTGCTGACGTGGACATCCCGGTCGCTGAGAGAGTGCAGTGCCACTGCATTGTCGTTCATGCGCTTGGCCCAGCTTAAAAAGAAACAGAAATAGATATAAGACAGTGTCTCTATTGATAGTGGACAAGGCTGACGTGCCAGGAATATGGAAAGCTAAGGTGTTAATTCATGTCATTCTCTTAGAGGGACGCCCGAAAACGAAGCACGGTAGACTCTCGCTAAATGGAACATGGAAGGATCAGAAAATTATGTTCTATTCAACAGGAGTTCCATTTATTGAGAGTTGAACTGGGGTGCTGAATTAAGGTACAAATCCAATCATGTCAGAGACAGTTGTTCCACATAAGCAGTAATTCTGTAAGAGATTTCTCTGTACACAGTGCCCGCTGTATATGGACCATGAGAGCACGTGCCGAGATCATCGTCTCCTCCGCCTAGTGGAGAGTCGTCTGCCATGGAGAACATTCGCAAGAGCAGTGCTCTCGAAAGCAGACCGCTCGCCACTAGACAGCGCAGATAGCTATTTCGGCACCCACATCCGTGGTTTACAAACTTTTTGTTCCCCAGTGTATTTTGATTTCATCGAAATTTCAGGTGAACTTTCTTAGCAATCGTGTGCTGGGCGGTCCGATTTTATCACTGTACACGACATGTCATCGATCATTCCATCATTATATATGGTTTGCTTTCTTATGGAGCCATCCAGAAAATTTAGAGAACTGAAGAATTTGATCATTATAAGCAACATATAGGTAAATCTGGTATCATTATAAGTGAATTACAATGCATAGATTGCTTACTCTGTTATAATGCACAAATGTCGAGCCAGAATTCCCACATTTATTTCATTAGGTATATCAATTATATTGTGTAATCATTGTCTGCTTCTCGTGCACTAGTTGCAACTACAGTCTTGTTTTTTTTCTTTCAGTAATTCATCTTATAAAACGTCTTATTGCAGCCTTTTACCTTGGAACATCTACCCATTTGTAAATATTAGAAATTCGTTGCTGTACTACTAAAATTATTATTCTGATAACAACACTTCACAATTTCGCTATTTATGGACACAAGTTAGTATTGCAGATTTATGTGAATATAAGAATTTTTTCTACTACAATTTGCAAAGTATTCAATACTCAACTCAATTATATTTGCTTCTGATGCTATCTGATTTACCTCCAGGATTTGCAAGTATTGAAGACTCAATTTTATTGTGTTTGCTTCTGGGACTACAGTCGATCCCATATACGTTGAACCCACATGTAATGATTATTGAGTATATCTGACAGTTGTAAGATTGCCTTGCATATATGTTCAATATACAGTACACTATCAGTAAACGGAAATCTGTTAAATGGAACTACTGCTTAAACTATTGCCTCTGCAATACTTGGTTTCAGGCTTGTATTCTGCACTTATGTTCATCTCTCAGTAAACGGAACTCCTGTTAAATGGAACACATTTTCCCTGTCCCTTCAGGTTCTGTTTACTGGGAGTCTACTGTATATGGTATTTTGCACATTGAATCAATAATGTCTAGAACTTTTTTTGTGATCCTCTTCAGGTTTAATATATCCAAGTTTGACTGTGTTTAATATGTGCTATGCTTGATCTAGCAAGCACTCCTAAGCTCTGCCAAATCATTCAAGTATTACAGGATGTTGAGTTGCTGGAATTCATGCTGGCAGGTGAAACATGTGCTAATGTGACATTAAAACTGGCCTCTAAAATTCAGAACTCATATCATCAGTGTTATTACACAGAGAAAACATTGCCAAGATCGCGTAGCAAGTTGACAATGACAACGCTCACATGTTTAAGGGGACCTGAACATTTTTTAAGTAATCATGAAATGGCCAAAGAGGCAAAGCTGCTGGTGAGGATCAGGTAACATCAGATCTGCTGAAAGATGGAGGACAGATTGTGTTAGAAAAACTAGCCACCCTATTTACGAGGTGTCTCCTGACGGGAAGAGTACCAGAGTCTTGGAAGAACGCTGACATCATCTAAATACATAAGAAAAGAGATGACAAGGACTTGAAGAATTACAGGCCAATCAGCTTGCTCTCTGTAGTATACAAGCAATTTACAAAGGTAATTGCTAACAGAGTAAAGAAAACATTAGAATTCAATCAACCAAAGGAACAAGCAGGATTTCAAACAGGCTACTCAAAAATTGACCACATTCATACTATCAATCAAGTAATAGAGAAATGCTCAGAGTATAATCAACCACTATACATAGCCTTCACAGATTACGAGAGGGCGTTTGATTCAGTAGAAATATCAGCCGTCATGCAGACACTGCGGAATCAGGGCATAGATGAAGTATATATTGTCACGTGCTAAGAGCTTGAAGGAACGTATAAAGGGACGCGACTGTCAAAAATCTCAGAGACCAAGAAGGACGTCTCCGCTGGCACGGGTTGCTCGTCTTCGTCTTTTTCGTTCACCGGCACAGAACACCAGGTGGCATTACTCCTCCTCCCAAGAGAGCATCGACCCGATGCTCAAACAAAAGTGTGCACAGCCGTGGGTCGAAGTAGGTAACACAAAAAAACATTAAACAAATTAGTGCACGATAGAAAATGCGTCCTGGGCCCGGCAATCGGAAATAAACGGCATTCACTGTTCACACGAAGAGTTCACTGGCACAAGAAGAAAATTCGCATCACCGCGTAAAGTATGGTTTTGGGCGGACTACGTGTACAGTCTCTGGACGTGGTAACCTGCGCTGTGATGATGGTGAGCCTCCGTCTGCAACCACTTCGTAGTTCACGTCTCTCACACGTCTGAGTACTTTGTAAGGTCCAAAGTACTTCCTCAAGAGTTTCTCACTGAGACCTCGCCGCCTAATGGGTGTCCAAACCCAAACTTGGTCACCAGGTTCATAATAAACTTCTCGATGGTGGATGTTGTACCGCCGTGCATCTGCGCACTGTTGAGTTCGGATGTGCACATGGGCCAGTTGACGTGCTTCCTCAGCGCACTGAATGTACTCATTGATGTCGGCGGCTAATTGGTCGAGCTTGTTGATGTGCTCATATGGAATCATGGCGTCCAGCATAGTTCTAACATCTCGACCATAAACGAGTCGGAATGGCGTGAAGCGTGTAGTTTCCTGCGTTGCAGTGTTATACGCAAATGTTACGTACGGCAGGATGTCGTCCCACGTTTTGTGCTGCACATCCACGTACATAGAGATCATGTCGGCTAGCGTTTTGTTTAGCCTTTCTGTTAAACCATTACTCTGAGGGTGATACGCAGTGGTCTTTCGATGGGTTGTGTAACTCAACCTGAAGATATCATCCAAAGTTTCGCTGTGAACGATGTCCCTCGATCAGTGATGACATATGACGGGGCGCCATGCCGTAGCACAATTTGATGCATAAAAAACTGGCAACTTCAGATGCGGTCCCTCGTGGCAACGCCTTCGTCTCAGCGTAACGCGTCAAATAATCGGTTGCGACAATAATCCATTTGTTGCCAGAAGAAGACAAAGGAAACGGGCCTAGGAGGTCCATACCCACTTGTTCAAACGGTGTACGTGGTGGATCGATCGGTTGTAGATGACCTGCAGGCTTTAAATGTGGTGTCTTGCGACGCTGGCATTCACGGCATCCCTTCACGTAGCGTTTGACACAGGCAGACATTTTAGGCCAGTAGTAGAGTTGCCGCACCCGATCCATAGTTCTCGAGTAGCCCAGATGGCCAGATGTGGGCTCGTCGTGGCAAGCTAATAAGACGTCATCGCGGAGGGCTTTAGGCACGACGAGAAGATGAGATCTGTCACCAGCACCGGCGTTCCTTTTGTATAAGACGCCATTTCGTAGGCAAAATGATGGCAACGTTCGCGACATTGGACGAGGAATGGGCGCGGTGCCACCTTCTAAATGATCTATAATCATTCTTAGATCGGCGTCATTTCGTTGATGAGACATCAGATCCGGTCCGCTGACAGTTGCCACGAAGGCGCCGTCCTCTTCTGCGCTAGTACTGGCGGATTGAAGAGGTGCTCGTGATAGCGTGTCGGCGTCTTCGTGCTTTTTGCCTGACTTGTACACGATGGTGACATCAAATTCCTGTAGGCGCAGACTCCATCGTGCTAATCGTCCTGAAGGGTCTCGTAGATTGGTCAACCAGCACAAAGCATGATGGTCAGTCACCACTTTAAATGGTCTTCCATAGAGATATGGCCTAAACTTTGTAATTGCCCAAATGACCGCGAGACATTCTTTTTCTGATGTGGAATAGTTAGATTCCGCGCGAGACAGTGTGCGACTTGCGTAGGCTATTACCCGTTCAATGCCATCTTGTCTTTGTACCAAAACAGCTCCAAGACCGATATTGCTGGCATCAGTGTGTACTTCAGTGTCAGCATCTTCATCGAAGTGGCCGAGCACGGGAGGGGAAGAGAGCCGGTGCTGTAGTTCCGCAAAGGCAGTCTGCTGGTCGTCAGCCCAGACAAATGGTGTATCATCACGCGTGAGGCGTAATAGTGGCTCCGCAATGTTAGAGAAATTTTCAATAAAGCGCCGGTAATACGCGCACAGACCCAGAAACCGTCGAAGACTTTTCTTGTCAGTTGGAGGTGGAAAAGCGGTGACGGCATCAGTTTTGTCAGGATCAGGCCGAACACCAACGGCGCTCACGACGTGACCAAGAAACTTTAATTCTTCGTAGCCGAAATGACATTTCTCAGGCTTGAGTGTGAGATCGGCCGATCTAATGGCTTCGAGCACATTCCGAAGGCGACGAAGATGTTCGTCAAACGTTTCTGAAAACACAACGACATCATCGAGGTAGACGAGACAGCTTTTCCACTTGAGGTCTGCCAGGACGGTGTCCATCATTCGCTGGAATGTGGCTGGAGCGGAACAGAGGCCGAAAGGGAGCACTTTGAATTCATAAAGTCCATCCGGCGTTACAAAAGCGGTCTTTTCCCGGTCACGTTCATCGACCTCTATTTGCCAATAACCGCTCTTCAAGTCGACGGACGAAAAATACTTCGCACGTCGCAGCTTGTCCAGAGAATCATCGACTCTGGGCAACGGGTACACGTCTTTCTTT